GAATGCCAACGGTGACTATGGCCGTGGCACCGTCTGATATGGTGGCTCTGAGCCTCGGCACAGGGCTAGGCACTGGGTACTCATTCCTTTGTAAATTAATAAATGCACATAAAGATATGTTATATGGTTCACTTGATAGTGCAGGAGACCCAGAGGGAATTTGGGCGACAAGTGTCCATTTGCTTGTCGTTGTAGCAAAGTATCACAATAAGACCTGTGATCATAATGACCTAAGCCAGAAAAGGAAGACCAGACTGGTGGTTATGGAGTTAGACAGCTGAGCTGCACAAGCTCTGTGCAGGGACCAATGTGTGAATCTCCCGCCCACATCAAAGAAGGGAGCACCCAGGTCTCATCAGTTTGCATGGATGTGGAGGGAAGGGAAACGGAGAGGCTAGCCTCAAAAGCTGTCAGCATCAAACATGCATGGAGTTGTCCATCTCTTCAGAACAATCACAGGGAGGTAGTTTGAAGATGAAGAAACTGAACCCCACTTGTCTCTAATGACCTGTCATCGCAGATTTAACCAGAGCAGCTCGACTTCAAATCTGACAACCCACAATTCCAAGCTCCTGTAAACTCCCATCACTCCATTCACACAAGAAGTGAGCACCAGAAAAGCTGAAAGCAGCTGATTAGTGGTTTACGGGTACATTTTACATTTTTCCACACAAAATGAAACATGGGGGCTAGGTTCTAATGTTGTTATTGTTAGCAATACAACCCGTGATACTGTTTAAAAGTCTCTTCACATACAGGTAAAACTCCACTTCCAGCTTATGTCATGGGCATAGGGTTCCCATGAAGCACTAGCTGTTAACCAGCCCTTACCAGTCACTAAGCATTTGTAAAATTCTGGTTTGATGTGGGGTTTTGTTTTGGTTTGGTTTGGGTTTTGGCTTTTTTGAGACATGGTCAGGCTGGCTTTGAATTTGCCATGTAGCCAAGGATGACCTTGAACTTCTCATCCTCCTGCCTTTCCTGATTCTCCTCCCATGTGCAGTGATAAAAACATGCACCCCCATGTCCAGCATGTATTTGGAGGTTTCTGTTTTGTTTTCTTTTTCTCTGTCAAGGTTGCCTTTTGTGTATTGTTTTCTGTTCCATAAAAAAAATAGAGTAATGAGTCTTGCTGTGAGCTCATGAAAGATTGCATTAAAATCACAAGGAACCTATTTTTTATGAGTTATGGAGCTCTGAATCATCTCAGTAAGTTCTTCTGAGTAACTAAGTCCGATCAAGTTCCTAATTTGCTCAGCTTTCCTGTTAAAATCACAAAATTACAGATGCTTCACTCTCCCCACTCAGAACTCAGAGCATCCAGTGTTGCTTCTCCTGGGATGGGAAGGCTCACACCACTAAGCCTGCCTTGAGAGGGAGCCCTAAGAACGCCCAGGTATGTTCTGAACCAAATGATGCTGTAATATTGATGACCCTTCTGAATAAGTTACCTTATATATCAAGTCACCATTTAGGACAAATCAAAATGTCTTTATTTCTCTGTTCATCATCTTTGGGGAGTAATAAATTAGAGCTCTTTCTGTTTCTTGACGATTTGCTACATCTATATTTAGACACACACACACACACACACACACACACACACACACACTCAGAGTTGTGTTAAATGTCCAATGCCTGATTATCTTTCTCTTTTACCTAAACTGATAGATATTGATCTTTCTTCCCCATCTACTCCCAAGAGACCCTGAGTTCAAATCACCTAAAAGAAGAAATTCAGGCATTTAAATAGAACAGCAGTGTGACAGAAGCAGCTGGACACTCAGTTCTTCAGGAAAGGTCACCATCCACCAGAATAGAAAATTAGTCGGCATCCATTCCCTGATTTCGATCTGCTGTTCTCATTTTTGTGAAAGCAAGAGGTTGTCCCAATGATTCTAAAAGCTCCACTGGGCATTTCCCACAAAAGTGGTGGTGTCTCAAACCTGCCCCTGATGTGCACATCAAACAATTCCTTATCATCAGTATCACCATTAACATCACCATCATCGCTACCACCATCATCATCACCATCTCATCTCCCTTGAGGGAATTAACACTTAACTGAAAACCAGTTAACAAAGAGGAAGAACACAGCACTGAAAAAAGAGAAAAGATTCAGGCTCCAATTTTTGCCACTACAGGGAAAAAAAAAAAGTCTGTAGGTAACAAGCCAAAATTCTGTCTGCCAAGGTCAAGTTATTTGGTCCCACTCCCCTCTATTTAAAAAATTTAAACCTATCATTGGAAAGGGTGTTTTCCTCATTTGAAAGAAAAGCTTCTCGGAGCATTCTTAAAGTAATTCTTCAATCGTATCAATTTATATGAAACAAACTCCTCCGCCCTAAACGGAAGAAAGAAAGACACATATGAGATAAGCCTGGTGTTCACGTGGCTGTATCCAGCCGGTTCAGATGAAGGCTTTTTTCATCCTTACCCTAGAATAGACTTTCGGATCCGCAACCGGCACACGAGGCACTACCAAATTGGCCCATTGAAAATGTTCGTAGATTTCCCTGAGCTTTCACGTACTTTAAAAGCCCAGTTTATCTTCTGCCAGATCCCTCTTGGAAATCTCCTGTTCAAGGACAGCGGCTGGCCACCTCCCATCCCTCACAGCTTCCAGGAGACTACCCAGTGCCCTGCTAGCTTCTTGGCTGCCCCAGCAGGAGCTTCCTGCCGGAAGGGCGACAGGGCAAGCCCCAGTGTGATGCCCCTTAAATGTCTCCGCCTGTTCTATCACCGCTACCACCCCAGCTCAGAAAGGACCGGCCCGGGGAGTCAGCTGCCCGCTCAGCCTCTGGCTGCCTTAGGAGTGGCAGATGGCACAGGATCAGCCATCACCTGCCTCCCACCTTGGATACACGCCGGGGCCGGTGGGATCCGGAGCAGAGGCCAACTGGACAGTGAACACCCCAGAGGGGACACTAGCCTCTGGCTCCTCTGCACTGCCAAGGCGGATATTGAGAAGGTGCTTCAGTCGAGCCTGGCTGAGCTGGGGCCAGGAGGGGTGGCCACTTGGCCCACGGCAGCTCCGAGAGTCCGGTGGCTGCCAGGCCCGGGAGTGACACACCCCGAGAGCCCTAGCCGGCTTTGCCAGGGAAATGGGGTGAGCAGCCAAGCCGCACCTGAAGGGTCAGCCCAGGGTCCGCATCTACCAACCCCTTCCTAAAGTGTCAGAGGCTAGTGTGGAGAGTGCTGGAACCTCCGCGGCCCGAGAGAGACCCCAGGCTGCGGGACCCCAGCTGTGGTGTCCACTCACCTGGCAGTCAGTGCCCGAGACCCCAGCCGGGCAGGTGCAGCTGTAGCCGGGCTCCGCGGCTGGAAGCTCCTGGCCGGCCACGGAACGAGGGGTGCACACGCCCCCGTTCCGACAGGGCTGCGCCGCGCACGGTCCAGGCGCAGGCAGGGGCGCGGCGGGCACCGGGCTGGCCAGGCAGCCGTGGGGCCCAGCGGCCAGCAGCAGCAGCGGCAGCAGGGCCAGCGCGGGCAGCAGCTGGGCACCGGGCTCCTGGGCGCGGCGGAGAGGCATGACCGGCCGGGAGGGCGCAGGAGCCGGAGCCGGAGCCGGAGCCGGGCGCTGTGGCAGTGGTGATGGCGGTGGCTACTGGGGCAGCTCGGTGGGACCCGAAGCCTCCTGCAGCTGCGGGAGCCTTGGTTCCCCGGGCAACCGCGGGCGGGGCCGGAGGGGCGGGGCCGATGGGGGCGGGGCCCGCGGAGGCGGGGCGCCTGGCGGGCGGACCTGAGCGGGAACCTTCTGCAGGGAGTTGGGTCAAGAGTTGCAGGAAGGTCGTCCTCGGCTCTCAGACCCGAGGGTCAGAGTCTTGGTGAGACCTAGAAGAGAACCCTGGGCTCCGAGGTCGGGGCGCGAGCCTGGACCGGGATGCGAGGCAATGCTCCGGCAGCAGATGGATGGAGAGGTCCACGCAGCCAGGGGGAGGACCCGAGGCTGCTCCCGGCTGCCACCCGCCGCCTCTCGGCGCAGAATCTGTGAGACCGCAGCGGGCACCGGCCTGACCTCATTCTCCCGGGCCCCGCCCCCTCCCACAACGCTTGCCCCCTGCACACACGGCTCTCGCACACTTGCAGCCAGACTCCGAGCTGGCCTAGAAGTGACCTTGGAAGACTGGTCTGGGCCCTTGTCCTTGGTGCTGACTGAGCACTCGTCCCAGCTCACCCGCGCTTTTCTGCGCGCGCGCGCGCTCAGAAATGTCTGCCTTAGCTCACAAAAGCTGAAGGGGTCGGGGGACCAGAGCGCCCAATACTGTGAATACTGTTCTTGAACCAAACTGGAAACTGAGGCCCAGACAGGCTGCACTGGAACCCAGTGGGTCACTTGAGTTCTCTCCCAGAGCGCTGTGGGAACTGAAAGAACAGTTCTACCCTGCAGGTTTGCGAAGGCCCAGCCATCAGGGCGATTGCTACTGTCCTGGAAGGGGGCCTAGCTGTGACCTGCTCCGGGAGCCCCTGCTGGGACGGCCACAAAGGGCGACTCGGTGGAACTGACCTTTCACAGCATCTACTATGGATAGTCTCCCCAGAACTTGTTATCGTGTCCACGCAAAACTAAAAAATGTAGCCGTGCGTGGTGGCTCACATCTGTAATTCCAGCAGTTAGAGAGGCTGAGGCAGGAGGATCGGGAGTTTCAAGGTCAGTCTCAGATATAGAAGGAATTTCGAGGCCAGCTTGGTCTACAGGAAACCCTGAAGAGTAGGGGGGAGTTGGAGAAGGGAAAGGGAAGGGAGAGGAAAGGTGACTCCTTTGGATTGACAGTCTGGGTTAAATTTTCTAGGGAACACCAAAAGTACTTTTGCAAAAGCTGAGTTAATGAGAAAGTGGAGACTCCTCGGGAACCTTTAGGTGCCACAGACGAGTGGCCAGCGACTGCTCAAAGCCCTCTAGTGGAAGCAGGAGGCCAACTGCCTAGCCCCTGCAAAACCTGTTCAGATCCCAAAACAAAGCTCAGATTCCCGTTCTTTTAGGAGATACCTGAAAGTCATGTAGCCCTTTCAGAAGGTCAGAGAAACCCAGAAGGCTCTGCGAGTGACGGGGTAGCTGGGTGGATCCAAAGGTTACTGCGCTTCCACCCCACCTGCTGCCTTTTTATCTGAAACCTCTTTATTTATAAAGTCTTAGTTTTGTGCCCGCCAGCACCCTCTACTGGCCCCAGTTTCCACCTCTCAGGCGGTTCTTGACTGGGCCTCAGAGGCTACATTTTTTTCTCTAACCTCTCTGTCCCAGAGTATTAGTGCTGTTCATTTCCTTCCATCAAGGCCCACCCCCACACAAAAATCAAAGGATGTTTAAAAATAAAAAAAGATTGTGAACTAAAGTCACATTTCAGTTTTCTTCTATTCTTCCCTAAGCAATGTCTTTTTAAATTTCATTACACTTTGAGACAGAGGGAAATTAATGGCAGAGTTATTTTCTGGATGCTGATTTGTGAATTTTCTAGATAATGTCCCTTGCTTTAAAAAGTACTCTGTTTTGGCCAGGTGTGGTGGAGCTCGCCTTTAATCCTAGAACTTGGGAGGCGGAGGCAGGCAGATCTCTGTGAGTTCGAGGCCAGCCTGGTCTACATAGTGAGTTCCAGGACAGCTGTCAGGGTCTCCCTGTAGCCCCAGCTGTCTCCCTGTAGCCCCGGCTGTCCTGGAACTCACTATGTAGACCAGGCTGGCCTCGAACTCACAGAGATCCACCTGCCTCCACCTCCCAAGTGCTGGGAGTAAAGGTGTACACCACCACACCCGGCTGTTTTTAATTTTTAAAAGGTATAGTATGGCAGAGCTGGAGAGATGGCTCAGCAGTTAGGAGCACTAGCTGTTCTTACAGAGGACCCTGGTTTGAATCCCAGCACCCACATTGTGGCTAACAACCATCTGTAACTCCAGTTCTAGGGGATCCAATGCTGTCTTCTGTCCTCCAAAAGTGTTTCACAACATAGGTGCACTTATGCACATGCAGGCAATACACTCATATGCATAAAATGAAAATAGTTCAAAAATCAAAAAATAAAAAATAAATATAAAGGATTATTAAGGCAAAAAGAAAAAAAAAATATATATATATATATATATGTACCATTTTGTTTTTACTCCAGGCTAAAAAAGGAAGACTGAATCTTCCAACTGGCCCTCTGTTGCATTGATTCACTCTGAATAGAAAGAGTACTGACATATTAAAGAAAGGATTGCATCCGATTTGGTGAAGTAGTGAGTTTATCAGGGTTACTTACAGGAACATGTGACACAGCTATACCACCAGTGAGTCACCTCAACAACTTATGGGTAGTTACAACACTGAGAAGTTCCACCCCAATTAACTTTTCAACTCTTAACAAGTGGCAATTGGACACTCAGGGAGGGAAGGGGCTCCATGAGGGTCCCATGATTCTCCCTCCCTCCATGAGGGAGTGTTTAATATGCCCCGTCTTGTGTGGGTATTAACAGCTGCTCTGCTTCAAGACAGTGAAGGTCATGTCCAACCCAGAAGAAACAGGCACACAGCATATGCAAAGCCATGTGATTAGTTCTAACTCTAAAATATCCATGCAAAAAATACCATGCAAGTATTGCATTACTATTGTCACACCCAGAAAAGTAGATCTTGCAGCAAGATGACTCAGTGGATTGCCACTAAGCCTGACAACCTAAGTGTGATCCCTGTAACCCACAAGGTAGAAGGAGAGAACTAATGCCTGCAAGTTGTCCTCTGACCTCCACAAGCGTACTGTGGCACACATACAATTTTTTTAATTAAATGTAATAAATGTCAGTTATTCTATTTTTCAAAGTCAATCTTGTGGGCTGGAGAGATGGCTCAGTGGTTAAGAGCACTAGCTGCTTTTACAAAGGACCCAGGTTTAGTTCCCAGCACCCACTTGGCAGCTAACAACCATCTGCAACTCCAGTTCCAGGGGATCCAATGCCCTCTTCTGACCTTCTCAGGTATTGCACAACATGGGGACACTTACATACATGCAGGCTTACACTCATACACATAAAATTAAAATATTTTTAAATAAATAAAAAAATAGAACTTTCTGTAACCTTGTGTATTAGTTTGAATCTGAAATGTCCTTCTCAGACTTACATTTTGAATTCTGGGTCCCTAGCTTGTGGTGCTGTTTGGAAGACTCTAGAACCTTTAGAAGGTGGGGCCTAACTGGTGAAATAGGACACTAGGGGTGCACCTTTGCAGATTATACCTGCCCTACACCTGCCCTACTTTTTTCTCTTCCTGTTTGTCACTAAACAAACAAGCTCCCTACCACGTGGGTTGGGGCCTTCCCCACCATGATGGACTGAAATCTCTCTAAAACTGTGGGTCATAATAAACCTTCCATCCTTGTTGTAAATCAATGCAAACATAATTATGTGTAGGGGCCTAAAGGCCCCACCTTGCAGAAGTCTGAGAGGAAGTTACTGGGTGGCAGCCTGACTTGCTTTGAAAGTCTGAAGAATACTTCCGCACTGCTGAGGAGTGCATGATCAGCGTGTGACCATCCTTAAGATACACCCTCAGGGGGGAGGGGGGATTTCCAGGTGCCTTTATAAGCTCTGTAACACCTGCAATAAATGAGTCCCTGCTTGACTAGGCTCCCCGTTATGCCTGAGTGTTCCCGGTACTGGGGGCAGCATGGGCTGGCAAACGGCGTGCTTACTCATCCCCAGTCATCACTGCGAGGGGGTCGCTGGTTCGAACCCCCAGCAATTATGTTTAATTTCTGTACTTTGCTCTAACTCGAGAATATCATCCCAGGCCAGCACAGGCTTATGGACAGACCTCTGAGACCAACACTCTTTTTAGGAGATTTTTATACTCTGTGATCAGCATGGATGCACGGTGTAATAATCCAGACTCAGAAACTTATATTTAGAAGGAATGGCAAAGGTGACTAGCATGATCACCCAGGTTTTGAACTAAGATTCAAACTAGAATATCTACAAGGGGTGCTAATGACACTCAGCTTCCTTGGAGTACAACAGACACCTTCCTCTCCAAAAGCATCTAAGCATCCTGCAGCTGTTGGCACCATGGTCTCTATACACTTCTCTGCACCACAGTTGCCTGGACAGTGATGTCATTGCTCCTGCTGCTTCCCACATTTAGTTAAACTTGAAGGATACCAGAGGCTACAAGAAATTTGGTGGGGAGTTAGTAAGAGGGGGTACAGATACAGAGGGAGTATAAGTATGATCAAAATACATTGTAGGAAATTCGCAAAAATTTAATTAAAAAAAAATCACCTAGGATTTCATCTAGGGAATTTATGATGAAATATCAAAAAAAGAGAAATATTACCATTAAAAGCATCCAAAATATTATAACTACATATTACTTATGAGTTAAGTAAGATGTTCTTTAAAATAATGCAAGTAGCCAACACCTTGATTTAGAAATAATTTTATTTTTAAAACATTTGGAAAGAGATAATCAGAGCTCTAGAGCTATTCAGGCAGCTGTGTGATGCTCAGCAAGAGGCTTCCATGGCTGTACCCACATAATCCAGTCAGGCTCCCTCCTACCATAAACTCTGGAGGAATGGCAGACTCAGAATTGTCCTCTGTTTAGTGCATAGCCTCCAGACCTGATAGCAGAAGCTCAAAGGTGGGTTAATCTGGATTTTAT